TTTCCAATGAGACAATCTGTACATTCCTTCTTTGCAACATCAAACTTTGGCAACCCATGAACCATGTTCTTACTATGTAAGGTCTTCAGACCCTTGTAGCTCAAGTGACCGTACTTGCAATGCCAGAGTCGCGGCAGGTCAAGTGTTTAGGTGGGAAAGCAGCTGGTGGGAGTTGCAACTACTCCGGCTATAATAACAAGCATCCTATTTGCAGTCATCGTTGTTTCAATGATCAATCCTCTCCTTGGATGGTAAATTCTGCACTTCCCTTCATGCATCAGAATAGCTAGACCCTTCTCTTGCCATTGACCCACACTCAATAGGTTGTTCTTGAGCTCTGGTACATAATAAACTTTTGTGACTACAAGCTTCACTCCATTGATACTCAATTACACGCTGCGTTTTCGTTCTACATTCATCTTGGTGTTGTTCCCGAGCTTCACCAAGTGTCTAAACTCGCCGTCAAAGTCTGAAAACATCTTCTTATCACCACACATATGGTTAGAACAACCTGAGTCTACGAACCAAGCTTCTGTTCTGCTTACTCCATTTGCCTCTGCTTGTGCCGTCAATGCCAACTCTTCTTCATACCTGAGTTCCACCGTTGAGCCTCTTGCAAAGTTTTCGGTTACTTCAACATGAGACATAAGCAGCAAAGTCTCACCTCAATATATGTTGGCATAGTTTGCTTCTTCCTCTGTTCCTGGACACTCATATTGAACTCCATCATAGAGGTTTTGAATTCTCCCAACATCACATCATCATTGCTAGTATTGATAAGATCATCAATATAAACACTTACTCGCAAGATTTTTCCTCCACTGCCAATTTTAGAGAAAATGGTCTACTCACTGCTACATTTCTGAAATCCTTCTTTGTTGAAGTGGGCATCAATTCGACTAAACCAAGCACGAGGTGCTTGCTTTAATCCATATAGCGCTTTCTGTAGCTTGTAAATTTTATCCTCTTCTCCTTTCTTCTCATACCCCAAAGGTTGCTCGACATAAACATCTTCAATTAATTCACCATGCAAGAATGCTGATTTGACGTCGAGTTGATACACAATCCAGCCTCTCTGTGCAACAAGAGCAGCATCACTCTAATTGTATCCATTCGAGCCATCGCAGCATAAACTTCTGTAAAATCTACTCAATTGCCTCTGCAAGCAGCCTTTTGCTACCAACCGAGCCTTGTACTTGTCAATATCCCCTGCCTCATTATATTTAGTTTTGAAAATCCATTTTACTCCTATCCTTTTAGCTCGTGCAGGCAGCATAACCAGTTTCCATGTGTTGTTCTTCTCAATGGACTCAATTTCTACATCCATGGCATTTCTCCACTTCTCACTTCCTACTGCATCCTCGAAGTTTGCGGGATCATCAGACATCACAAGTGCCATATTAGCTTGCGACTCCAAGTCTGAAATTCCCGAACCAGAAAGTCCAGAATCTGGTGTATAATCACTCATCCAAGCTGGGTGTCCTCTTTCTCTTGCCTCCCTTGCTTCTGGTGTCTCATAACCCATAGACGAATTATCTACATTTTCTTCTTCCTCACTTGAGTTCATAGTACCTCCTCCTGAATTTCCAGCTTCTTGATCTTCGAACTCATCATCACCGTCAGATGCTTTATCTTCTATCTCGTCGGCGACACCTTGATCTTCTCCCCACTCCAACTCCATTGACACATGCTGCTCATAGCTTGTATCCCAGTCCCACTCTCTTTTTTCTTCGAACACTAGAATTCCACAAAATGTTTCTCCGCTCCAAGCCTCCTGAGGTGTCATGTCTTTCACTACACTTGTAGGACATTTGTTTAACACAAACGTCATCCAATTGACTGCTTCTGGCCAAATGATCGTACCTGCAATGCCAGAGTTGTTGCAGGTCAAGTGTTGAGGTGAGAAAGCAGCTGGTGGGAGTTGCAACTGCTCTAGCCATAATAACAAGATTCCTATTTGCATTCATCGTTGTTTCAATGATCAATGCCAACTCTTCTTCATACCTGAGTTCTACCGTTAAGCCTCTTGCAAAGTTTTCGGTGACTTCAACATAAGTCATTAGCAGCAAAGTCTCACCTCAATCTATGTTGGCATAGTTTGCTTCTTTTTCTGTTCCTGGACACACATATTGAACTCCATCATAGAGGTTTTGAATTCTCCCAACATCACAACATCATTGCTAGTATAGATAAGATCATCAAAATAAACACTTACTCGCGAGATTTTTCCTCCACTGCCAATTTTAGAGAAAATGGTCTACTCACTGCTACATTTCTAAAAGCCTTCTTTGTTGAAGTGGGCATCAATTCGACTAAACCAAGCACGAGGTGCTTGCTTTAATTCATATAGCGCTTTCTGTAGCTTGTAAATTTTATCCTCTTCTCCTTTATTCTCATACCCCAAAGGTTGCTCGACATAGACATCTTCAATTAATTCACCATGCAAGAATGCTGATTTGACGTCGAGTTGATACACAATCCAGCCTCTCTGTGCAACAAGAGCAAGCATCTCTCTAATTGTATCCATTCGAGCTATCGGAGCATAAACTTCTGTAAAATCCACTCTTTGCCTCTGCGAGTAGCCTTTTGCTACCAACCGAGCCTTGTACTTGTCAATATCCCCTGCCTCATGGTATTTAGTTTTGAAAATCCATTTTTCTCCTATCCTTTTAGCTCATGTAGGCAGCTTAACCAGTTTTCATGTGTTGTTCTTCTCAATGGACTCAATTTCTGCATCCGTGGCCTTTCTCCACTTCTCACTTCCTACTACATCCTCGAAGTTTGCGGGATCATCAGACATCACAAGTGCCATATTAGCTTGCAACTCCAAATCTGAAATTCCCGAACCAGAAAGTTCAGAATCTGGTGTATAATCATTCATCCAAGCTGGTGGTCCTCTTTCTCTTGCCTCCCTTGCTTCTGGTGTCTTATAACCCATAGACGAATTATCTACATTTTCTTCTTCCTCACTTGAGTTCAAAGTACCTCCTCCTGAATTTCCAACTTCTTGATCTTCGAACTCATCATCACCGTCAGATGCTTCATCTTCTTTCTCGTCGGGACACCTTGATCTTCTCCCCACTTCAAGTCCATTGACACTTACTGCTCATAGCTTGTATCCCAGTCCCACTCTCTTTTTTCTTCGAACACTACATCTCTGCTAATCGCTATCTTTTTGGTGATAGGATTATGGAATCTGTAGACCTTTGACTCTTCACTCACTCTATGTAGGACGCAGAGTACACTTCTATCCTCCAATTTGGTTCTTCTTGCCTCTGGAACATGGATGAAAGCAATACACCCGAAGACTAAAGAATTCCACAAAATGTTTCTTTCCGCTCCAAGCCTCCTGAGGTGTCATGTCTTTCACTGCACTTGTAGGACATCTGTTTAACACAAACGTCGTCCAATTGACTGCTTCTGTCCAAAAGGTCTTCGGCATCTTCTTTTTTGAAAGCATCGATCTCACCATGTTTAGAATTGTTCTATTCTTCCTCTCCGCAACTCCATTTTGTTGTGGTGAGTATGCTGCTGTTAACTGCCTCTTGATCCATTTTCCTTGCAAAATTCATTGAACTCATTTGGATAGAACTCTCCTCCTCTGTCAATCCGAAAGTACTTGATTGATAGACCTGTTTCTTTTTCAACATTTCTTTTGAAAGCTACAAAGAAGCTAAATGTATCTGCTTTGTTTGTTAAATAAAAAGTCCATGCTCTTCGACTAAAGTCGTCAATGAAGTATAGTATGTACCTTCTACTACTGTTTGATTCTGGTGCGATCGGTCCGCCGAGATCTGCATGAACTAGCTCCAACTTCTGTTTTGCCCTCCATGTGCTCTTCTTTGGAAAGGAATTTCTATGCTGCTTTCCAATGAGACAATTTGTACATTCCTTCTTTGCAACATCAAACTTTGGCAACCCATGAACCATGTTCTTAGTATGTAAGGTCTTCATACATTCCTTCTTTGCAACATCAAACTTTGGCAACCCATGAACCATGTTCTTAGTATGTAAGGTCTTCATTCCCTTGTAGCTCAAGTGACCGTACCTGCAATGCCAGAGTTGTGGCAGGTCAAGTGTTGAGGTGAGAAAGCAGCTGGTGGGAGTTGCAACTGCTCCGGCCATAATAACAAACATCATATTTGTAGTCATCGTTGTTTCAATGATCAATCCTCTCTTTGGATGGTAAATTCTGCACTTCCCTTCATGCATCAGAATAGCTAGACCCTTCTCTTGCCATTGACCCACACTCAATAGGTTGTTCTTGAGCTCTGGTACATAATAAACTTTTGTGACTACAAGCTTCACTCCATTGATACTCAATTACACGCTGCGTTTTCGTTCTACATTCATCTTGGTGTTGTTCCCGAGCTTCACCAAGTGTCTAAACTCGCCGTCAAAGTCTGAAAACATCTTCTTATCCCCACACATATGGTTAGAATCACCTGAGTCTACGAACCAAGCTTCTGTTCTGCTTACTCCATTTGCCTCTGCTTGTGCCGTCAATGCCAATTCTTCTTCATACCTGAGTTCCACCGTTGAGCCTCTTGCAAAGTTTTCGGTGACTTCAACATGAGACATAAGCAGCAAAGTCTCACCTCAATCTATGTTGGCATAGTTTGCTTCTTTCTCTGTTCCTGGACACTCATATTGAACTCCATCATAGAGGTTTTGAATTCTCCCAACATCACATCATCATTGCTAGTATAAACAAGATCATTAATATAAACACTTACTCGCAAGATTTTTCCTCCACTGCCAATTTTAGAGAAAATGGTCTACTCACTGCTACATTTCTGAAATCCTTCTTTGTTGAAGTGGGCATCAATTCGACTAAACCAAGCACGAGGTGCTTGCTTTAATCCATATAGCGCTTTCTGTAGCTTGTAAATTTTATCCTCTTCTCCTTTCTTCTCATACCCCAAAGGTTGCTCGACATAGACATCTTCAATTAATTCACCATGCAAGGATGCTGATTTGACGTCGTGTTGATACACAATTCAGCCTCTCTGTGCAACAAGAGCAAGCATCACTCTAATTGTATCCATTCGAGCCATCGGAGCATAAACTTCTGTAAAATCCACTCCTTGCCTCTGCGAGCAGCCTTTTGCTACCAACCGAGCCTTGTACTTATCAATATCCCCTGCCTCATTGTATTTAGTTTTGAAAATCCATTTTACTCCTATCCTTTTAACTCGTGCAGGCAGCTTAACCAGTTTCCATGTGTTGTTCTTCTCAATGGACTCAATTTCTACATCCATGGCCTTTCTCCACTTCTCACTTCCTACTGCATCCTCGAAGTTTGCGGGATCATCAGACATCACAAGTGCCATATTAGCTTGCGACTCCAAGTCTGAAATTCCCGAACCAGAAAGTCCAGAACCTGGTGTATAATCACTCATCCAAGCTGGGGGTCCTCTTTCTCTTGCCTCCCTTGCTTCTGGTGTCTCATAACCCATAGACGAATTATCTACATTTTCTTCTTCCTCACTTGAGTTCAAAGTACCTCCTCCTGAATTTCCAGCTTCTTGATCTTCGAACTCATCATCACCGTCAGATGCTTTATCTTCTATGTCGTCGGCGACACCTTGATCTTCTCCCCACTCCAACTCCATTGACACTTGCTGCTCATAGCTTGTATCGCAGTCCCACTCTTTTTTCTTCGAACAATATATCTCTGCTAATCACTATCTTTTTGGTGATAGGATTGTTGAATCTGTAGGCCTTTGACTCTTCACTCACTCTAAGTAGGACGCAGAGTACACTTCTATCCTCCAATTTGGCTCTTCTTGCCTTTGGAACATGGATGAAAGCAATACACCCGAAGACTCTAAAGAATTCCACAAAATGTTTCTCCGCTCCAAGCCTCCTGAGGTGTCATGTCTTTCACTACACTTGTAGGACATCTGTTTAACACAAACGTCGTCCAATTGACTACTTCTGGCCAAAAGGTCTTCGACATCTTCTTTTCTGAAAGCAGCTGGTGGGAGTTGCAACTGCTCCGGCCATAATAACAAGCATCCTATTTGCAGTCATCGTTGTTTCAATGATCAATGCCTACTCTTCTTCATACCTGAGTTCCATCGTTGAGCCTCTTGCAAAGTTTTCGGTGACTTCAACATAAGACATAAGCAGCAAAGTCTCACCTCAATCTATGTTGGCATAGTTTGCTTCTTTCTCTGTTCCTGGACACCCATATTGAACTCCATAGAGGTTTTGAATTCTCCCAACATCACAACATCATTGCTAGTATAGATAAGATCATAAAAATAAACACTTGCGAGATTTTTCCTCCACTGCCAATTTTAGAGAAAATGGTCTACTCACTGCTATATTTCTGAAATCCTTCTTTGTTGAAGTGGGCATCAATTCGACTAAACCAAGCACGAGGTGCTTGCTTTAATCCATATAGCGCTTTCTGTAGCTTGTAACTTTTATCCTCTTCTCCTTTCTTCTCATACCCCAATGGTTGCTCGACATAGACATCTTCAATTAATTTACCATGCAAGAATACTGATTTGACGTCGAGTTGATACACAATCCAGCCTCTCTGTGCAACAAGAGCAAGCATCACTCTAATTCTATCCATCGGAGCATAAACTTCTGTAAAATCCACTCCTTGCCTCTGCGAGTAGCCTTTTGCTACCAACCGATTCTTGCACTTGTCAATATCCCCTGCCTCATTGTATTTAGTTTTGAAAATCCATTTTACTCCTATCCTTTTAGCTCGTGCAGGCAGCTTAACCAGTTTCCATGTGTTGTTCCTCTCAATGGACTCGATTTCTACATCCATGGCCTTTCTCCACTTCTCACTTCCTACTGCATCCTCGAAGTTTGCGGGATCATCAGACATCACAAGTGCCATATTAGCTTGCAACTCCAAGTCTGAAATTTCCGAACCAGAAAGTCCAGAACCTGGTGTATAATCACTCATCCAAGCTGGCGGTCCTCTTTCTCTTGCCTCCCTTGCTTTTGGTGTCTCATAACCCATAGACGAATTATCTACATTTTCTTCTTCCTCACTTGAGTTCAAAGTACCTCCTCCTGAATTTCCAGCTTCTTGATCTTCGAACTCATCATCACCGTCAGATGCTTTATCTTCTATCTCGTCGGCGACACCTTGATCTTCTCCCCACTCCAACTCCATTGACACTTGCAGCTCATAGCTTGTATCGCAGTCTCACTCTCTTTTTTCTTCGAACACTATATCTCTGCTAATAACTATCTTTTTGGTGATATGATTGTAGAATCTGTGGGCCTTTGACTCTTCACTCACACTAAGTAGGACGCAGAGTGCACTTCTATCCTCCAATTTGGCTCTTATTGCCTTTGGAACATGGATGAAAGCAATACACCCGAAGACTCTAAAGAATTCCACAAAATGTTTCTCCGCTCCAAGCCTCCTGAGGTGTCATGTCTTTCACTACACTTGTAGGACATCTATTTAACACAAACGTCGTCCAATTGACTACTTCTGGCCAAAAGGTCTTCGACATCTTCTGGTGGGAGTTGCAACTGCTCCGACCATAATAACAAGCATCCTATTTGCAGTCATCGTTGTTTCAATGATCATTGCCAACTCTTCTTCATACCTGAGTTCCACCGTTGAGCCTCTTGCAAAGTTTTCGGTGACTTCAACTTGAGACATAAGCAGCAAAGTCTCACCTCAATCTATGTTGGCATAGTTTGCTTCTTTCTCTGTTCCTGGACACTCATATTGAACTCCATCATAGAGGTTTTGAATTCTCCCAACATCACATCATTATTGCTAGTATAAATAAGATCATTAATATAAACACTTACTCGCAAGATTTTTCCTGCACTGCCAAGTTTAGAGAAAATGGTCTACTCACTGCTACATTTCTAAAATCCTTCTTTGTTGAAGTGGACATCAATTCGACTAAACCAAGTACGAGGTGCTTGCTTTAATCCATATAGCGTTTTCTGTAGCTTGTAAATTTTATCCTCTTCTCCTTTCTTCTCATACCCCAAAGGTTGCTCGACATAGACATCTTCAATTAATTCACCATGCAAGAATGCTGATTTGACGTCAAGTTGATACACAATCCAGCCTCTCTGTGCAACAAGATCAAGCATCTCTCTAATTGTATCCATTCGAGCTATCGGAGCATAAACTTCTGTAAAATCCACTCCTTGGCTCTGCGAGTAGCCTTTTGCTACCAACCGAGCCTTGTACTTGTCAATATCCCCTGCCTCATTGTATTTAGTTTTGAAAATCCATTTTTCTCCTATCCTTTTAGCTCGTGTAGGCAGCTTAACCAGTTTTCATGTGTTGTTCTTCTCAATGGACTCAATTTCTGCATCCATGGCCTTTCTCCACTTCTCACTTCCTACTACATCCTCGAAGTTTGCGGGATCATCAGACATCACAAGTACCATATTAGCTTGCAACTCCAAATCTGAAATTCCCGAACCAGAAAGTCCAGAACCTGGTGTATAATCATTCATCCAAGCTGGTGGTCCTCTTTCTCTTGCCTCCCTTGCTTCTAGTGTCTCATAACCCATAGACGAATTATCTACATTTTCTTCTTCCTCACTTGAGTTCAAAGTACCTCCTCCTGAATTTCCAGCTTCTTGATCTTCGAACTCATCATCACCGTCAGATGCTTTATCTTCTATCTCGTCGGCGACACCTTGATCTTCTCCCCACTCCAACTCCATTGACACTTGCTGCTCATAGCTTGTATCGCAGTCCCACTCTCTTTTTTCTTTGAACACTATATCTCTGCTAATCGCTATCTTTTTGGTGATAGGATTGTAGAATCTGTAGACCTTTGACTCTTCACTTCTATCCTCCAATTTGGTTCTTCTTGCCTCTGGAACATGGATAAAAGCAATACACCCGAAGACTCTAAAGAATTCCACAAAATGTTTCTCTCCGCTCCCAGCCTCCTGAGGTGTCATGTCTTTCACTGCACTTGTAGGACAAGGACATCTGTTTAACACAAACGTCGTCTAATTGACTGCTTCTGTCCAAAAGGTCTTCGGCATCTTCTTTTCTGAAAGCATCGATCTCACCATGTTTAGAATTGTTCTATTCTCCCTAACCGCAACTCCATTCTGTTGTGGTGAGTATGCTGTTGTCAACTGCCTCTCGATCCATTTTCCTTGCAAAATTCATTGAACTCATTTGGATAGAACTCTCCTCCTCTGTCAGTCCGAAAGTACTTGATTGATAGACCTGTTTCTTTTACAACATTTCTTTTGAAAGCTACAAAGGAGCTAAATGTATCTGCTTTGTTTGTTAAATAAATAGTCCATGCTCTTCGACTAAAGTCGTCAATGAAGTATAGTATGTACCTTCTACTACTGTTTGATTCTGGTGCGATCGGTCCGCGCATGAACTAGCTCCAACTTCTGTTTTGCCCTCCATGTGCTCTTCTTTGGAAAGGAATTTCTATGCTGCTTTCCAATGAGACAATTTGTACATTCCTTCTTTGCAACATCAAACTTTGGCAACCCATGAACCATGTTCTTAGTATGTAAGGTCTTCAGACCCTTGTAGCTCAAGTGACCGTACCTGCAATGCCAGAGTTGTGGCAGGTCAAGTGTTGAGGTGAGAAAGCAGCTGGTGGGAGTTGCAACTGCTCCGGCCATAATAACAATCATCATATTTGCAGTCATCGTTGTTTCAATGATCAATCCTCTCTTTGGATGGTAAATTCTGCACTTCCCTTCATGCATCAGAATAGCTAGACCCTTCTCTTGCCATTGACCCACACTCAATAGGTTGTTCTTGAGCTCTGGTACATAGTAAACTTTTGTGACTACAAGCTTCACTCCATTGATACTCAATTACACGCTGCGTTTTCGTTCTACATTCATCTTGGTGTTGTTCCCGAGCTTCACCAAGTGTCTAAACTCGCCGTCAAAGTCTGAAAACATCTTCTTATCCCCACACATATGGTTAGAACAACCTGAGTCTACGAACCAAGCTTCTGTTCTGCTTACTCCATTTGTCTCTGCTTGTGCCGTCAATGCCAACTCTTCTTCATACCTGAGTTCCACCGTTGAGCCTCTTGCAAAGTTTTCGGTGACTTCAACATGAGACATAAGCAGCAAAGTCTCACCTCAATCTATGTTGGCATAGTTTGCTTCTTTCTCTGATCCTGGACACTCATATTGAACTCGATCATAGAGGTTTTGAATTCTCCTAACATCACATCATCATTGCTAGTATTGATAAGATCATTAATATAAACACTTACTCGCAAGATTTTTCCTTCACTGCCAATTTTAGAAAAAATGGTCTACTCACTGCTACATTTCTGAAATCCTTCTTTGTTGAAGTGGGCATCAATTCGACTAAACCAAGCACGAGGTGCTTGTAAATTTTATCCTCTTCTCCTTTCTTCTCATACCCCAAAGGTTGCTCGACATAGACATCTTCAATTAATTCACCATGCAAGGATGCTGATTTGATGTCGTGTTGATACACAATCCAGCCTCTCTGTGCAACAAGAGCAAGCATCACTCTAATTGTATCCATTCGAGCCATCGGAGCATAAACTTTGTAAAATCCACTCCTTGCCTCTGCGAGCAGCCTTTTGCTACCAACCGAGCCTTGTACTTGTCAATATCCTATGCCTCATTGTATTTAGTTTTGAAAATCCATTTTACTCCTATCCTTTTAGCTCGTGCAGGCAGCTTAACCAGTTTCCATGTGTTGTTCTTCTCAATGGACTCAATTTCTGCATCCATGACCTTTCTCCACTACTCACTTCCTACTGCATCCTCGAAGTTTGCGGGATCATCAGACATCACTAGTGCCATATTAGCTTGCGACTCCAAGTCTGAATTTCCCAAACCAGAAAGTTCAGAACCTGGTGTATAATCACTCATCCAAGCTGGTGGTCCTCTTTCTCTTGCCTCCCTTGCTTCTGGTGTCTCATAACCTATAGACGAATTATCTACATTTTCTTCTTCCTCACTTCAGAGTACCTCCTCCTGAATTTCCAACTTCTTGATCTTCGAACTCATCATCACCGTCAGATGCTTCATCTTCTATCTCGTCGGGACACCTTGATCTTCTCCGCACTCTAGCTCCATTGACACTTGCTGCCCATAGCTTGTATCCCAGTCCCACTCTCTTTTTTCTTCGAACACTACATCTCTGCTAATCGCTATCTTTTTGGTGATAGGATTGTGGAATCTGTAGACCTTTGATTCTTCACTCACTCTAAGTAGGACGCAGAGTACACTTCTATCCTCCAATTTGGTTCTTCTTGCCTCTGGAACATGGATGAAAGCAATACACCCGAAGACTCTAAAGAATTCCATAAAATGTTTCTCTCCGCTCCAAGCCTCCTGAGGTGTCATGTCTTTCACTGCACTTGTAGGACATCAGTTTAACACAAACGTCTTCCAATTGACTGTTTATGGCCAAAAGGTCTTCGGCATCTTCTTTTCTGAAAGCATCGATCTCACCATGTTTAGAATTGTTCTATTCTTCCTCTCCGCAATTCCATTCTGTTGTGGTGAGTATGCTGCTGTCAACTGCCTCTTGATCCATTTTCCTCGCAAAATTCATTGAACTCATTTGGATTGAACTCTCCACCTCTGTCAGTCCGAAAGTACTTGATTGATAGACCTATTTCTTTTTCAACATTTCTTTTGAAAGCTACAAAGGAGCTAAATGTATCTACTTTGTTTGTTAAATAAAAAGTCCATGCTCTTCGACTAAAGTCATCAATGAAGTATAGTATGTACCTTTTACTACTGTTTGATTCTGGTGCGATCGGTCGGCAGAGATCTGCATGAACTAGCTCCAACTTCTGTTTTGCCCTCCATGTGCTCTTCTTTGGAAAGGAATTTCTATGCTGCTTTCCAATTAGACAATCTGTACATTCCTTCTTCGCAACATCAACTTTGGCAAGCCATGAACCATGTTCTTACTATGTAAGGTCTTCAGACCCTTGTAGCTCAAGTGACCGTACCTGCAATGCCAGAGTTGTGGCAGGTCAAAGTGTTGAGGTGAGAAAGCAGCTGGTGGGAGTTGCAACTGCTCCGGCCATAATAACAAACATCCTATTTGCGGTCATCGTTGTTTCAATGATCAATTCTCTCCTTGGATAGTAAATTCTGCACTTCCCTTCATGCATCAGAATAGCTAGACCCTTCTCTTGCCATTCACCCACACTCAATAGGTTGTTCTTGAGCTCTAGTACATAATAAACTTTTGTGACTACATGCTTCACTCCATTGATACTCAATTACACGCTGCGTTTTCGTTCTAAATTCATCTTGGTGTTGTTCCCGAGCTTCACCAAGTGTCTAAACTCGATGTCAAAGTCTGAAAACATCTTCTTATCCCCACACATATGGTTAGAACAACCTGAGTCTACGAACCAAGCTTCTGCTCTGCTTACTCCATTTGCCTCTGCTTGTGCCATCAATGCCAACTCTTCTTCATACCTGAGTTCCACCGCTGAGCCTCTTGCAAAGTTTTCGGTGACTTCAACATGAGACATACGTCGCAAAGTCTCACCTCCATCTATGTTGGCATAGTTTGCTTCTTTCTCTGTTCCTGGACACTCATATTGAACTCCATCATAGAGGTTTTGAATTCTCCCAACATCACATCATCATTGCTAGTATAGATAAGATCATCAATATAAACACTTACTCGCAAGATTTTTCCTCTACTGCTAATTTTAGAGAAAAGGGTCTACTCACTGCTACATTTTTGAAATCCTTCTTTGTTGAAGTGGGCATTAATTCGGCTAAACCAAGCACGAGGTGCTTGCTTTAATCCATATAGCGCTTTCTGTAGCTTGTAAATTTTATCCTCTTCTCCTTTCTTCTCATACCCCAAAGGTTGCTCGACATAGACATCTTAAATTAATTCACCATGCAATAATGCTGATTTGACGTCGAGTTGATACACAATCCAGCCTCTCTGTGCAACAAGCGCAAGCATCACTCTAATTGTATCCATTCGAGCCATCGGAGCATAAACTTCTGTAAAATCCACTCCTTGCCTCTGCGAGTAGCCTTTTGCTCCCAACCGAGCCTTGTACTTGTCAATATCCCCTGCCTCATTGTATTTAGTTTTGAAAATGTATTTTACTTCTATCCTTTTAGCTCGTGCAGGCAGCTTAACCAGTTTCCATGTGTTGTTCTTCTCAATGGACTCAATTTCTGCATCCGTGGCTTTTCTCCACTTCTCACTTCCTACTGCATCCTCAAAGTTTGCGGGATCATCAGACATCACAAGTGCCATATTAGCTTGCAACTCAAAGTCTGAAATTCCCGAACCAGAAAGTCCAGAGCCTGGTGTATAATCACTCATCCAAGCTGGTGGTCCTCTTTCTCTTGCCTCCCTTGCTTCTGGTGTCTCGTAACCCATAGACGAATTATCTACATTTTCTTCTTCTTCGCTTGAGTTCAAAGTACCTCCTCCTGAATTTCCAACTTCTTGATCTTCGCACTCATCATCATCGTTAGATGCTTCATCTTCTATCTCGTCGTGACACCTTGATCTTCTCCCTACTCCTGCTCACTGACACTTGCTGCTCATAGCTTGTATCCCAGTCCCACTCTCTTTTTTCTTCGAACACTGCATCTCTGCTAATCGCTATCTTTTTGGTGATAGGATTGCAGAATCTGTAGACCTTTGACTCTTCACTCACTCTAAGTAGGACGCAGAGTACACTTCTATCCTCCAATTTAGTTCTTCTTACCTCTGGAACATGGATGAAAGCAATACACCCGAAGACTCTAAAGAATTCCACAAAATGTTTCTCTCCGCTCCAAGCCTCATGAGGTGTCATGTCTTTCACTGCACTTGTAGGACATCTGTTTAACACAATCGTCGTCCAATTAACTGCTTATGGCCAAAAGGTCTTCAGCATCTTCTTTTCGGAAAGCATTGATCTCACCATGTTTAGAATTGTTCTACTCCTCCTCTCCGCAACTCCATTCTGTTGTGGTGAATATGCTGTTGTCAACTGCCTCTTGATCCATTTTCCTTGCAAAATTCATTGAACTCATTTGGATTGAACTCTCCANCAACATCAACTTTGGCAACCCATGAACCATGTTCTTACTATGTAAGGTCTTCAGACCCTTGTAGCTCAAGTGACCGTACCTGCAATGCCAGAGTTGTGGCAGGTCAAGTGTTGAGGTGAGAAAGCAGCTGGTGGGAGTTGCAACTGCTCCGGCCATAATAACAAACATCCTATTTGCAGTCATCGTTGTTTCAATGATCAATCCTCTCCTTGGATGGTAAATTCTGCACTTTCCTTCATGCATCAGAATAGCTAGACCCTTCTCTTGCCATTGACCGTACCAGTTTCCATGTGTTGTTCTTCTCAATGGACTCAATTTCTGCATCCATGGCCTTTCTCCACTTCTCACTTCCTACTGCATCCTCGAAGTTTGCGGGATCATCAGACTTCACAAGTGCCATATTAGCTTACGACTCCAAGTCTGAAATTCCCGAACCAGAAAGTCCAGAACCTGGTGTATAATCACTCATCCAAGCTGGTGGCCCTCTTTCACTTGCCTCCCTTGCTTCTGGTGTCTCTTAACCCATAGACAAATTATCTACATTTTCTACTTCCTCGCTTGAGTTCAAAGTACCTCCTGGATTTCCAACTTCTTGATCTTCGAACTCATCATCACCGTCAGATGCTTCATCTTCTTTCTCGTCGGGACACCTTGATATTCTCCCCACTCCAGCTCCATTGACACTTGCTGCCCATAGCTTGTATCCCTGTCCCACTCTCTTTTTTCTTCGAACACTGCATCTCTGCTAATCGCTATCTTTTTGGTGATAGGATTGTAGAATCTGTAGACCTTTGACTCTTCACTCACTCTAAGTAGGACGCAGAGTACACTTCTATCCTCCAATTTGGTTCTTCTTGCCTCTGGTACATGGACGAAGGCAACACACCCGAAGACTCTAAAGAATTCCACAGAAGGTTTCTCTCCGCTCCAAGCCTTCTGAGGTTACTTGTCTTTTCACTGCACTTGTAGGAGATCTCTTTAACACAAACGTCGTCCAATTGACTGCTTCTGGCCAAAAGGTTCAGCATCTTCTTGTAGGAGATCTCTTTAACACAAACGTCGTCCAATTGACTGCTTCTGGCCAAAAGGTTCAGCATCTTCTTTTCTGAAAGCATCGATCTCACCATGTTTAGAATTGTTCTATTCTTCCTCTCCGTAACTCCATTCTGTTGTGGTGAGTATGCTGCTGTCAACTGCCTCTTGATCCATTTTCCTTACAAAATTCATTGAACTCATTTGGATTGAACTCTCCACCTCTGTCAGTCCGAAAGTACTTGATTGATAGACCTGTTTCTTTTTCAACATTTCTTTTGAAAGCTACAAAGGAGCTAAATGTATATGCTTTGTTTGTTAAATAAAAAGTCCATGCTCTTCGACTAAAGTCATTTTTACTACTGTTTGATTCTGGTGCGATCGGTCCGCATAAATCTGCATGAACTAGCTCTAACTTCTGTTTTGCCCTCCAAGTGCTCTTCTTTGGAAAGGAATTTCTATGCTGCTTTCCAATGAGACAATCTGTACATTCCTTCTTTGCAACATCAAACTTTGGCAACCTATGAACCATGTTCTTACTCTGTAAGGTCTTCAGACCCTTGTAGCTCAAGTGACCTTACCTGCAATGCCAGAGTTATGGCAGGTCAAATGTTGAGGTGAGAAAGCAGCTGGTGGGAGTTGCAACTGCTCCGGCCATAATAACAAACATCCTATTTGCAGCAGCTGGTGGGAGTTGCAACTGCTCCGGCCATAATAACAAACATCCTATTTGCAGTCATCGTTGTTTTAATGATCAATCCTCTCCTTAGATGGTAAATTCTGCACTTCCCTTCATGCATCAGAATAGCTAGACCCTTCTCTTGCTATTGACCCACACTCAATAGGTTGTTCTTGAGCTCTGGTACATAATAAACTTTTGTGACTCCATGCTTCACTCCATTGATACTCAATTGCACGCTGCCTTTTTGTTCTACATTCATCTTGGTGTTGTTCCCGAGCTTCACAAAGTATCTAAACTCGCCGTCAAAGTCTGAAAACATCTTCTTATCCCTACACATGGTTAGAACAACCTGAGTCTACGAACCAAGCTTCTGCTCTGCTTACTCCATTTGTCTCTGCTTGTGCCATCAATGCCAACTCTTCTTCATAACTGAGTTCCCCCGCTGAGCCTCGTGCAAAGTTTTCGGTGACTTCAACATGAGACATAAGCAGCAAAGTCTCACCTCCATCTATGTTGGCATAGTTTGCTTCTTTCTCTATTCCTGGACACTGATATTGGAAGTGCCTAAGCTTATGACATCGAAAGCATTCAATTGTTGCACGATTGAATGTTTGTCGGCCTCTTCCTCTACCTCTTCCATGAAAACCTCCTCGATTTCCTCATCCTCTCCCACCTTCATATGAAACTTTCAGAGCTTGCTCCTCATAAGTACTCCTCTTTTGAAACTTTTGTTCATGAACTAGCAGATAGCTTCGAAGTTGATTCACCGAAAGACTTTTGATATCTTTCGATTCCTCTATGGATCATACAACAAAATTCCAGCTCTCAGGAAGTGTACGCAGAGTCTTCTTTACAATCTTAGCATCCTCCAAGCCTTCTCCTAGATTGCTCATATTATTGCAGACTAACGCTACTCTTGAAAAATAATCTGTAATTGACTCACTAATTTTCATCTCAAGTTCCTCCAAATCTCTTCGAAGTGTCTGCAGCTGTGCATTGTGCACCTTCTCATCTCCTTGGAACCTTGTCTTCATTGACTCCCAAAGCTGCTTAGCTGTGTCCTTTTGGGTGTTAGTCTTCAAGGTCGTCTTGTCAATGGCTTGGAAAAGGTAATTCTTTACCTTTAAATCCTTCAGCTTCAAGTCTGCTAGCTTTGCTTTCTGGGCACCATTCAGGATCTCGCCTCTCGCTGGTTCGGTATAACCTATCTCCACCAAATTTCACCACTCTTTTGATCGTATCAAATTCTCCATGAGCATCGCCCAATACTCCTAGTCTCCATCAAACATAGGAATGCTCAGGGTGGCATCCTTCTCTGTTTCCATCTCTACACTCTAATTTCTCACTCTTCACTCGTGCTTGCTCTTCTTTGTTCCTCACTTTCTCTCCTGTTTGCACTCACACACACTCACAATCAGGCCACTAGTGAGCTCTGATACCAATTGTTGAGAATTGGTATCAAGCTAGGTATCTGAGAAACAAAGATTGATTGAATACTACAATACTTTATTGAATGCAAACATCTGGCTTTATAGCCTTACAACCTAACAGAAAGAGAAATTGCAGCCCACTAACATAGTAGTAAAACTACAGAAATTGAAAATTTCAAAGCTAACAACTACATCCTAACTTGTAGGATCATTATTTGACAGAGACTCTAGATAACCAAGATTCCCTACTTTCAAGCAACAAACAACAACAACCACGACTAAGTCTTCCAACAAGGGTCACCCGTGTAATTAAATTAGTAATATTGTAGATACGCAGCTATGAATTGTTACTTTCTGTCTAACTTTGAAACATTTAGTATTTACCTTCATTCTTATCACCTTTTGATTTGTTGTCTTTAGGTTGAGGTTTGTTACACACTGAAACTTTGGCTTACTTGTGCCACCTCTATTTTTTATTTGGTATTTTTTGGTTCGAGTCTATCATATTGAGCTCAGAGTTGTTATCTCTGTGTTGAAGTTAGTCACGCATACTTATTAATTGTTACATTTGTTTTGAATTTTCACCTTTATGTATGAGTTGATAGCTTTGTGTACTTGTTACCATTGGCATAAGTTTGCTGTCTTTATTTCTTACATTTACATTTTGTCTCTACATCTTGATTTGTCAACATTAGCTATGAATCTTTGGCTTAAGTGTGTTACCTTTATTTTTTTATTTGATTTTCTTTGTGTTTTAGTTTATCTTCAAATATGCTTCATTACATTTGCATCAAATGTCATCTTTAGATATCAATTGTTACATTTATTCTCAACTTTAGATATGAATTGTTACATTTAGCATAGTTTTCTTTTCTTTATTTTGTCACATTTATATTTGTTTTATCTTTAGGTCAATCTCTGTCACCTTTAGCTATTAACCTTTGGCTATATTTTCTTACCTTTATTTTTGTACCGCTTTGTTGATTTTGTCACATATAGCTATTAATTGTAACATTTCTCTTATTTGATGCCTTCGTGTTGATGCTTGTCACCTTTTCCTATGAGCGTTTGGCTTTATTTTGTTACCTTTTCTTTATGTGATGCCTTTGTGTTGATGTTTTGGAGATCACTTAAAATATAACTAAATGGAAGAATAGGATAAATGTATTCAATCCCAAAAATTTGTGATAATGGCTTCGTCATTGTCACTCTGTCGATGTTTGTCACCTTCAACATTCTTTGTTTTTGTCACCTTGAGATTTTCTTATCTTGAGGTCGAAGTTTGTCACCTTTAGTATAGACTTTCTTCTTATTTGTGTTGCCTTTATTTTTTATTTTGGCAACCTTGTGTTAAAGTTTGTTTTTTTTTCTTTTTGCTATGAATTGTTATCTTTATATAGAAGTTTTTCATCTTTAGCTATATTAGTTGTTGCATTTGTTTTAAACTATGTCAGGCTTCCCAATGAGTTTAGCTTTTGTCTTAGTTTGTTATCTGTTATGTACTTTTGTCATCTTTACCTATTAATAGTATAGATTTCTCATCACTGAGAATTTGCAATATATGTTATTTTATCACAATAGCAGAGTATATTAAGAATTGCAGAGTTAAGACGGTACATAGATAATGAATTAGAATTGTAAGTCCCATGAGAAGTCTATTATCCTTATATAATGGTTGTAGTCTTCTATTGAGAACACTATTTCTGTTCCATTAGTGGATTGGAAGCCAATTTCTGACTCAAATGCTTAATCATAGATTTTGCAGTTGAGCCGAACACATGGGACAACATTGATTTTTGAAATTTTGTTTTGTTTAGAAAGTTATTACATCACATGATTTGTATATTTGTATATGTTAGAAAGATATCTATGTGTTTTTCCTTTGTGATCCGTATCATTTAGATGGCATACATTTTAAAAAAAATATTTTTTGTTTTTGCTGAATTATATGAATAATCATTCTATATCATATGTTAAATGGATGTGACTATGAGAGATGTCATTTATTTTCACTGTTATGGTCTGATAAGCGTCATCTCATATCTATTTCTAATTTGATCCCCTCCTAGTAAATGTGGCATACTATTTTTTTAGTGACAAGTCTTTTGTATGGTTTGAAAGTAAATTTGATGTTATTTGTTTTACTTCTATTGTAAATTTCTCTCTGTTTGACCCCTATTTTTCAGATTTAAGTTTTTGCACTCCTCTTAATCTAATGTACAATTTTTAGTGGCGATAGTCTTTTGTTTTGTTTAGAAGTAAATTTTTATGTTAGATTGTATGCTTTTACCATAAATCTCTTTGTTTGACCCTTAACATTAAGTTTTTGTTATGATTGAGGTGTTGGCAATTTGATGTTGAATATTTTATGGTATACTGTGAGGTTCTGAAGAGAAACTTGCTTAGAAACTACAGTGTCAATAAATATACCCATCGAAGCTGATTATTTTTTTGGGATTCAACTGAAAATAATTTGAACACATGGGTTTGTCATCTGTATTTTGTAGTCATGTCCTGTTTCTTGCTATCTTACACAAGTCATCAATGAGTTGTAAAGGGAAAACTGTATAGCATCTACATAATTTTACGGTGATGGAATGGAATCATATCAGAAAAGTATGAATAATTAGATAAAGAGGAAATGTAATGGTATTGCCAACAGTACTACAAATAACAAACTATAATGTAAAGTTAATCTATTTTGTGGAGCCCAACTACTGGCTACAAACCTCAAGGTTTTCATATATATACTTCATAATTTATTAAAAGGGTCATATAATCTTATATAATCAAAGTGATTTAATATTGAATAATAATATTGTTGTAATAATATCGTTATTAGGGAAATTTCTTCATTAACCAATATGTTCTTTACGATATATAAGCTATGCACTCTAAATTCTTATGTTTTTTATAGAGCCAAAAAGTTTGAATACGAGTCACTAACATGTTGCTCTCACAACAAAAAAATGCACTTAGCAGATATGAATATTCTAGATGAGTTATGTGTCCTATATACAATACAATTACCCTAAGCAAGTGAGTTATAATAGTATTTTTTTTATCCATAATGTTTGGGGCAAGATTTGATAGGGATCTTGGATCAATTTTTTTATATTTAGAGCAAATGACAATATATCATAATATCCTTAGTCTAATTTCGCAGAATATAATTCTTCACGTTTATATATTTATGCTCACATATATATATGCATACAACCGTAAAATAATTCGTTTATCATCATATAACAATATATTTCAAATTTTCGGGGTTTTACATTTTCCTATTTTATTTTAACTATTTTTATCAATTTAAATAATTATGATATTCAACCACGTGCATTGCACCGTGCATCTCAACAAGTGTGAAGAAAATCATGAGTCCTATTTTTATTGATGGATTCTCTTTACACCATTGATCGGAGATGTTTTTTAAGGTCAGATGGATATGAACTTGGTTTCATTGATCGGAGATGTTTTTTAAGGTCAGATGGATATGAACTTGGTTTCACAACTTTCTGACTTTTCCATCTTGAATCTCCCTTCCTTTTCTCGACAAATTCTCCTTGATTTCTTTGGAGTTTTTCAATTTTTCCACCTTGAATTTTTATTTCTTTCCTTTTTTGAACATTGCTATAAATTGACATAAGTGTATATTAACGTATGTTCTTCTGAAGAATTGAGAACTGAAAAAGTCGAGCCTAATGACCTATTAAATTAGATCCAATTCTGTAGAAATAGTTTGACCATGATTCAAATGCTGGGTCAAGACAAATGGCGTGTGAACTGGTTAACCTAGATAAACTAAAGTCGGATGGAGGTAGGAATTAATCACTGTTTTTTATTGTTTGGGGGGTCAAAAACATTGTGGAGGGATTTTTCTATTACTTTGAAATAGGAGTATCTTCTTCTAGAGTTATTTAAAGCACCCAAATTTGCGTGGTTTGTATAAAATGCCAATTGGATATTTATAACAATAATAAAAAGTTTAATGCTTATTTGATTGTACATAGTAGAACCTATTGTTGATACAAAAAAGTAAATGGTGGTGTCTAGAAGGAGAGAAGCACACGAGTTTGGACCAATTTGTTTTGGTTGGCCACTGTAATTGTTCTGCTATGTTGTTTATAGCAAATTGATTGAACAGTCCAGTTATTATGAATATGTATCTGCTTGAAGTCTAGGTAGCATTTAAATTGGAAGCATGGGAGCTCACATGTTGTTTTGTGTACATTGTAAGATTTTTCGATTACTTTTTGAGGGTAGAATAAGAGCGGATAGTATATATGTGCACATACACTTTGGCCCACTGGTATTTGTTTCGCAATGAAGGATGGGAACATTATGAATAGGTTTGTGCATGTGTCTGGTAGATTTTGTTCATCAATGTTGCCTTTTGGATTGTGCTGGTATTCAAAGGTTTGTGCTTATCAAAAGTATTGAGCTTAATTGCTTGTTTTCTGTTTCTTGATAGTTTCTGCTGTGTTGATCCTACTTTATTGTAATATTAAAGAGTTCTTATCTCTGAGCATTATTACTATCTGTTTTTTAATACATAGCGGACAATGTTACGAATTGCAAAGATAAGACAGTGTTAAGATATA